GCTGCTGGCTGCATGGTGGCATTGTTAGAAGGAAGTGCACCTGCTCGAACATTTTCTTCAGCTAGAAGCAGACGGGTTTGTTGAATGCTCTAATTGCTGGTAGGCATGAAAGGATTGCCTAGAAGATTGCTTCCAAGGCTGTCCTTTGATGTTGCACGTGATCTAGAAGTGAAGGTTTCTTTTCCTTTATCAATCTTGCTAATAGATGAGAATAAAATGTCTCCTCTCAGCTTTCATTCCAGAAGGAATCACGACACATTCGGTCCGATTAGTGGTAACATGGGCCAAAAGGCTCCTTTTATCTTTGGAAAAGATTTATAAAACAAAAAGCACATTCATAAAATCCTATTAGGTGCATATTTCATTTCAGTGGTCTCTTTGGGCAAGAAAAATATTTTGCTTTGAACACTGGGTTTCTCAAATTCTGTAACACTGAAGCTAGGAATTTTTGGATGCTGCCTTTTTACGTCGGTTATAAATCTCAAATTGCAATTAGAACAGGTGTTGGGTTTTTTTTTCAGTTCCAAACTTTACAAACATAATTCCAATACAAAATCCAACTTTAGTCTTATTTTTCAGCACAATTTAAACTACGCTGAGGTTTGGTGTAGCCCACCCAGTCCTGAGACATGGGGAGAGCAAAGTGCATTGCTGACAACTCTGTGACACTATGCTTAATTTGTGAGGAAATTGCATCAGTTTTCAAAGATCACAATTTGGGAAGACATTGTGTGCAGAAACATGCTGCCAAATTCAATGCACGTCAGGGAGCGCTTCGTAAGGATAAAATAGTGAAACTGAAAGTAGTCTTGTCATCTCAACAATATATTATAAAAAAAAAAATTAAAATGCAAATGTACTCTGTTATAAAAGCTAGTTACATGATAGCAAAAAAACTCAAAACCATTTCATGATGGTGAGTTTATAAAGCAGTGTATGGGAAGCATGGCAGATATGTGTCCTGATTAAAAAAATAAAAATAGTAAATTGATTTTTCTAAAATCAGTACGTCTCACCAGACTGTATCCAGGTGAACAGGAAAATCTATTTAAAAAAGTTTAGAGAGTGAAGCTGCTAATTTCAAATTTTATGCTTCAGTGATAGCTGAAAATACTGATGCTACTGATACTACTCAACTTGCCATTTTTGTTAGAGATATTGATAATGAATATGATGTCACTGAAGAAACGGCTTCTTTGGTGCTATTGAAAGACTGAACCAAATCTATGATATGTAACAAAGCAGAAAAAAAATACTTTAGAGCTATTTTCTTCAACCTTTGTCAACATATCAGGTATAGCTACTGATGGTGCCCCAGCAATGGTTTGATGAAATATCACTGCATCAGACATCAAGAAAATGTATGCATGAAAGCTTTAGAAATTGATAATATCATGCAAGTCATCATCAAAGCTGTGAATTTCATTAGGTCCAAGAAACTGAATCATCACCAATTCTAGGAACTCATTAGAACTATGGATAATGATTATTAGGTCATCATTTAGTTTTCTGAAGGAAGGTGCCTAAGTCAGGATTAAATGCTAAAAAGGCTTTGCAAAGTGAAATCAAGTCATTTATGGAATCAAAAGGAAAATTTGTGCCAGAACGTGAAGATGAAAAGTGGATCCCAGATTTAGCATTTCTGGTGGATTTGACTGCTTATTTACAGGAGTTAAACAGGCGACTTCAAGGTGAAAATCAGCTTATCTGTTCTGTCTTTCAGATAATAACAGCATTTGAAATGAAACTTCAGTTATGGCAAGCTCAGGTGATGGCAAATAATTTCATGCATTTTAACACACTGGCTGAGCACAGTCCTTTGAGCAGTGAAAAACGTGCAGCTCTGCTTTCCATTTTGATAATGAAATTTGAGAATATGTTTCAAGATTTCAAAAAAATGTATATATCTTTTTTTTTTTATATATATGCATATATTTGTGACTCCATTTTTGGTTGACGTAAATACATTACCTGCAAATTTTCACATGGAACTTATAGAGTTGCAATCAGACATTCCACACAAAGAAAAATTTGGTCATGTATCTTTACCTGACTTTCATAAAGCCCTGTCTTACCAGAGAGAAATACCTCTCACGTCACAGTCACACCTTATTCGTGTCATCACTTTTTGGCAGTAGGTACATTTGTGAACAATTATTGTCAAGTGTGAAGCACAAGAAGAGTAATATTTCATCAGAAATCTTTGGTGAGCACCTTGAGAACTCACTAGGAGTGGTAACCACTGCCATTGGCCAGCCTGATGCATTAGTTTCACAGAAACAAGGACAAACATCCCACTAGTTTTATGGTTTGGTTGCTCTCTTTTTTTGATGTTTTAATAACAATATATAAAAGAAATACATAAAGAAAAAATACATTAAATGTATTACATATTTTATATGTGACCCGCGGCAATTCCTGTTCACTCAGTGTGACCCAGGCAAGCCTGAAAGTTGGACAGCCCTGGCTGTATTGTAAATTAAGCATGTGGTTCTTGAATTGATTGTAAAATCTGTCAGAAATTCAATGTGTGCTATGAAACTTAGACACTCCTGTGCAATTTCTTGATTTTGATTTACTGAATTGTGAATAGTTTCCTTTTTTCCCTAGACTTACATCCTCTTTTTTTTTCATCTGTTTTGGGAATTGAATTTTAAAATGCTGAGACACATCTGTCTTCATCTTTATAATGGCTTTTTGAGTAACTTCACTATCGTGTTAGTGTCCAAAGCCGTTCTACTTCTATTGAATTTTGTCATGGTCAGTGTAAACTACCAGTTTCCCAACTTTCTTTCTGAGGACAAAGGATATGTATTTTGTCCTGTGGTGTAAGCAAGGAGTATATTTACATGCCTGCAATTATGGCCTCCAATTTTGATTTTGCTCTGACACAATAAAGGATACGTCTGGAACTGTATTTACTTGGCAAGAGGTCAGTTTTATTTTTATCCATGGAATCAAGTGTTTATCAGATTTCTGTATGAATCATGCACCGTGTTATGGAGCAACTACACCAATGTTTTATTTTAAAGTTCTGATGGGTTCTAGAGTCCTAGTGTACTGTAAGCCCAGACAAAGGTGTTTTTTCTCCCCAGAACACCAAATTTAACGTACATATTTTTGTACATATGTTAGCATGAATCTATGTTCGATCTGCCAATTCTGATGCTTTCATTAACTAAGCAAATGTGAATATTCTGTCTTAAGGGTTATATATAAGCCATCTAGAAATAGGGATGACTCATTCATTTTGATGTGGCTGTGGGTTTTGTGGTCATATCCAGGGAGAAATAGGGTGTACTTGGGCATATCCTCCCAGGCAATTTTGCAGACCTCGCTTTGATAGGGACCAGCTTTGCATGGGCTGTTTTCTTAGGTTTCTTCTAATTTAGCCTTGTGAAAAAGGGCGTAGAATAACCACAAGTTTTCTGTTGGGCAGACGTACAGTTATGTCTGTTTATACTCCTCTTGGTGGGTATTGGAGACATCACTTAAATCTGGTCTCTGCGTGCTATCTCATTTGTGTGTGAAGTGTTCAGAACCGCAGCAGAAACTGTACTTTAAAAAAGGAGGAGGAAATTAAATGTGTAAGATTGAACTGATACAGTTTGAGAGTGTGGGTCATGCAGACAAAAACCCAGGAAATTCAAAGCTCAGCCTGAGCCGTAGTCCATCAATCAAACTATTGTGGGAGAATAGTGCTGATAATCATAAAAACACACAAAGATGTGAGATATAATAGTGCAAGTCTTAACAAACCTGACCTGTAACTGTATTCTGAATGAATGTTTTTGTACTTAATTTCCTGAGGGATGTATTAACGTCGGTGAAGAGGAGAGGAACATTTTTTGTGGAAGCTCAAGTAATTGATGGGGAAGCTTTCAAAGCAAAAATAGTCACCCCATAGATTTGTCTACCAGCAAAAGCTTAGTGGTGTAATTGCACAGGGTATTCTGCAATGTCTTATTCTGGTACTGATGCTTGTAAAGAAACAAACAATTACTTTTTAAAGGAAATGTTATAAAGCAGTCTTTTCAGTGAGATACAGATTGACTTGTTGGTTTTGGTAGTCTCAGGGACTAAAACCTTAGATGCTGAAGTGCTATGATGTAGTGTGCCCAAGTCAGAGCTGCCAATTTAAAGATAGTTTACAAACTAATTATGTTCTGGGTGAAACCCAAAGTGTTTTTCATTCCTCGTGATATCCTGAAAGATCAAGATTAAGATTAAATAATATGAACTCAGTTACTTTGTATTTGAAAGTAAGCTGGATTCTGAATTGAGTCAGTATTTCCTTGAAATGGATTGTCTGATGTGTGAATTGATTTGTGGGTTAAGCAAGCTACAGGAGATGATGTTATTGAATACCGATGGTGCTGGAAAAAATCTTTGAGGCAAGAATGTATTTTCAGGAAACTTTTTACTACCACCAGTCAAGTGGGTCTGAAGTGCATGTTAGGTGTAGAATTTGGTATTTCCTTCATAATGATCTTCCATAACTATTTCATACTACACATAACACTGTTCAATTAGACAGTTGAAATATATGGAGAAGGTTGCAATTGGCAAACCAATTAAGAAAGAAAACTTCAGGCTCCAACCTTGATATGGCTGCTGTCTCATTCTGTTCCAGTCTGGAGGAGCTGCCTGGTTCTTGTGACCAGGGGTAATGTGAAGGAGGCTTGTGTCTCTTTTGTGATACAGAAAAGTTTGGGATTCCTGCTGTGGTTTTGTTTAATGAGTGTTACATAATACTCTGTGCAGTTAGAGAATTAGATTGTATCAGCTTAGCTCTCTTTATGAGCTGCTCCAAATAGGAAAAAGGAGGTGGTAATTATAACAATGGAGGGGGAAAAAAAGAATATTAATAAATATTCATAGTGTATGTGAAATTTGTTTTCCTGCTAATCTACTATTTTTATCTGGCCTACCTTCTCAATTGTATTTTTTTCCTGACAGCCTTTTTTTTTTTTTTTCCTTTTGTCTCACTGTCTGCACAGGACTGGCTCCTCACATCTGTAATCTCCTAATAGAAACTGTGGCTCTGTACTTGGAGGCAGATGATAAAAGCAGCACCAAGACAGCAAATGCACTGCTGCTGTCCTTGCTTGACATTTTGCACTGCATGCTGATGTACACAACAAACATTGTGCGCCAGACATTGCAGGTATGGAGTTCATTTCCTGGGAGTGATAACCATCTTAAACATTTTTTTAGATACCTTCTTGTTATGCTGTTGGTGAATTTACCACTACTCTCATTTCATTACGTTTTTAGTTGGGTGGGAAAGGGAAGAGCATGTATTTTCAGCTGCTTGCCCCTACGTGTGTATTTGCCTGGCTAGAAAATTCGTTTTAGCCCCACTGTGCTGGGAACAGATCTTAGCTGCATGCTCCATCTCTGTACTCCACAAACAGCTTAATGCAACGTTTTCTCAGTGATAGTTCAAAGTCTTTTCCTTCACTTCATGTTAAAAGAAAAACATTACTCCATAAAAAGCAACACCTTTTCATTATAAATCAGAAGTGATTATTGTGCTTGAAGAGTATGTAACCTCTGCATGTGCATCGAAGTGCTTACATTGCTAGTGTTTTAACTTTCTCTTTGAACCACTGCAAAACACAGCATTAATAGGGCTTCTTCTCCCAGTGAAGTCTTCCTCTTCCTTAAAAATGGAGCACAAAAAGATACTAATCAAAGAAACTGCGTGTAACACTTCTAACAACAAAACAGGAAGAATATTTTGTCCTTTTTTAGATATGATGCTAAACTGGCAATGTTTGCTTTGTTTTTAAGTGATCCACCAAACTGCTGTAGTTTGTCAGCTGGAAGCAACTACTGTATTTGGGCTATAAACAGTACTTCAAAAGTTCATTTTCCACTAAAGAACAGAGAATGCTCTTACATCCAGTATATCTGGAGGGCAGAGATTCAGAAGATGGCAGTCAGGTTGTACTGTGTATCAGAGCTGGGCTTTCTTATACTTGCGGGTTTTTTAAAGGAAGTTTAAAGTATGAAGTAAGTATTGAAAATTGAACTTTTTCTTCTACATAGATTTAAATAATCAGCTGTAATCAAACAGATGTTTCATTAAGAATTTTTTTGTTGTTGAACAAACACACTTCAGATCTGATGGAACAATACCTTGGCTTTTTCAAGTCCTCTGGCAGCAGGCTCTGTAATGGGCTTCGCATCTAAGAATCACTTTGCAAATCAAATTTTGTAAGTTAATTGCTGATTGTCATATTGTTAGCAACAGTCTAAGTAATCATAGAGAGCCAAGCTCTGTACTTGTGCTCTGTGCAAGTGTTGAGGCCAATTATACGGAAGGGCATATGAGGAGAGATGACCTTGTACACGGTTTGGTAACATTAGTGAAACTCATTACTTTTATTTAGATACACTAATTCTAACTTAAATCTCTGTATTCATTGCCACATTTGATTCTGATTTTACATGAATACATCAGTTGGCTGATAAACTCCAGTTTTGTACAACTTCAGTCAAAGTAATTTGATTTGCTTTGGAATGCTAATGGATAAGAGGCAGCTGGCATTGTGAAGTATAGCGCTGCCCTGTTCCTCTGTGAAATTATCTTTAAGGTGATGTTCCTTGCCCTGACATAGTGGTCTTGGCAGTAGTCATCACTGGGTTCCTGTGGGTTCTACAGCTACCTCAGTACGCAAACCCAGCTGTGATGGCAATTAGTTGCTGTCTGCTATTTACCATGCATCTACAGCATGGTATCTCTGTGTCACTTAATGGATCATGGTAATGATAACAAATGTTCTTTGTTTTCAAAGGGATCTTCTGCATAAGATACCTGCTAGAACGGCACTAGGGAATCAAGTTTTCTCATAATACCATTACTGAGGCCTTAAGCTGACTTGTGCAGATGATGCCACTGATGTCCACCTGAATCTTTATCGTTGATTTTTTTATATGTAAAGTGATGGCATTATCCAACTGGGTAGGAGATGTGAGAGCACACTTACTTCCCATTTCACTACTTTGTGCTGGATGGTACTGATAACTATATCTGGCTTCATTCAAGACTTTGTCCTCTGTAGTCCAAGTGTATGTATTATAATAGCAGTAATACTAAGATTTGGATTAATTTGGATATCTGTTTTGGAGCAGCTTTATCATACCATGTTCCACAGGTGATCCACAGTAGCTGCATTTGAGAAGTAAACTTGCTATTTAGTGACTTAGCATAGGTTTAAATGTGGTGTGCATCCTTTACATATATAAAGTATAATTCCTCTAGTGTGTATTATTTATTCTCTTTTCAAAGACACTGACTATATACCACTTGAAGCAGTCAGATATCCCTGATGGAGGATGTCTTACTTCTGATTCTAACACTAAACAGACAAAGCTGTTGTAAATTTTGCTGAAGTGAAGGCAGCTTACTTGGCTATCTTGGTTACTATAAACATTCATTTTTTTACTTCTTCTATGCACTATGTCTATTTGCCCTTCTTGGACTTCTGCATCGTGGTGAGTCTCAGTGAGGGACATACCAGTGTGTCTTATTACTGAGAAATGGCTCTTCGGGGCTCCTTTATTTCTGAGCTCTTCCTGAAAGGAAGGCGTTATGTGTTCAACTCATCAAAATAAACAGTGCAGCTCTAGCAGTAATGTCTCCTGTCTCTGGGGAGCTGCTCTTGTGCTCACTTAACCAAACAAAAATCCTTGGTTATTATACCTGGGTGATGGCTTAAGGATTGCACTATAAATGAAACACAATACAAAATGAATTTTAAATGTGTCCTCTAGATAAAATGCTTAAGTTTTCCTCTAGCAGCTAGACTCTGCGGGGTCACAATCCAAAGCTGCTGCAAGATGGTGAAGTTAAATGAAAAACCTTGCAAGAAGACCTTGCTGGTACCCTGGGACACAGATGGGTCATACTAGCACTGCCTGGGATGGCAGCGTGTTTCAATGAAGGGGAAGACAATGATCAGAATTCCAAGCAGTAACAGGTCTTATCACACTTTCAGATTTTATTATTCCCATTTCAAAAATAATTTAAACTATTTATGTATTGTGAATATTTCAGGATGCAAAGCAAGTCAGAAGGGCAAAGGTGGACAATGCTGTTGAAAATCATAACCTCTCAGTTATCTTGATTTTCTTCTTTTGAGTTGTGCCTAAAATTATTCCTAATAATGGAAGAAAAAAAAATGAGTGAACTTTCACATTAAGGTAGACATGTTGAAATGGAATACAAATACATAAAACATTTATGGCTTCAGAAGTATCTTTTGAGTATACAGTTCAAATCATTTAACTGAATAAATGTCACGTAGGTGGGTATATTCAGCCTGTGCAGAACAGGTGAGACAGTGTGAGTTGCTTTTGCTTTGTGCTTACTGTTGCAGACACAGGGAGTATATAGGTTTCCTTCAATCTTTCATTTAAACATTGACCACCTAATGAACCTAATTTGTTTCTCATAACTGAACAGTCTCTGAGGCTGTTTTGTTGGTTTTTTTCCCCTCATCTTTTTAAGGCACAGAAATCCGGCACAGGAGGGGACACACAGGCTGCTGAAGACCTTCTGCTTATCAATAAACCCCTGACGGACCTAATTAGCCTGCTTATTCAACTGGTGAGAATTTACTTGTTTGGAAGCTATTGCAATGTCGCTGAAGTTGGAATTAGTCAACTGAATTCAACATCTTAGAGCTGTGTTTGACAGGTTTTTTTTGCTGTTTTTGAGCTTCTACCTAACATAAGACAAGGACTCTTATAGTTTTTGCAGGATTTAAGGCCACAACAGGCTACAAGTGACATCTGCACAAACCTAGAACTGGGCCAAGGGCAGGCTCTTGGGTGTGATAAATATGTGTATGCAAATTGTAGCCCCAAAGAATGTGCTAATGTGCAGAGAAAGGGTTATATTCAAAATTATATATTCAAAATTACCAAAGCAACTACAGCTACCAGTAGAACTGTCAGTAAACTTAAAATTAGCTTGCATTGAGTGATCACTTTAATCTTATTTTCTTGGGTTTGAGCTTCCTGTGTTTTATTCAAGTGCTTGGTTTGATTCTAATGTGATCGTGAATGATTTAGGAGTGGGAATGATCTCTAGTGGCCTGTAATCATCTTTTACGTCTGTTTAAAGTCCGTTTTTTCCAGGGTTTGCTAGACATCAGAGTGCTGCCCTGAAATCTCTGCGGAGAGCTGAGCGTCCCTGATGCATCCCACCAGCTCAGACTCCATCATGCTGTGCCAGAGACTTGTATTGGCTGTGTGTGTCATAGCTTAGAGCAGAGAAATGCTTCTTGAGTTGAGCAGGGCTTTTAGGGCCTGGTATGCTACCTCTGCCTTTTACTCAACAGAAAGCAAGAATCACAGAATCACAGAATCACAGAATTGCCAGGGTTGGAAGGGACCTCAAGGATCATGAATCTCCAACCCCCCTGCCACATGCAGGGCCACCACCATTCCACCTAATGCTAGACCAGACTGCCCAGGGCCCCATCCAATCTGGCTTTGAACACCTCCAGGGACGGGGCATCCACAACCTCCCTGGGCAGCCTGTTCCAGTACCTCACCACTCTCTCCGTAAAGAATTTCCCCCTGACATCCAACCTAAATCTCCCTTCCCTCAGCTTAAAACCATTTCCCCTTGTCCTGCTGTCACTCACCCTTTCAAAGAGTTGATTCCCCTCCTCTTTGTAGGCTCCCTTTATGTACTGAAAGGCTGCAATGAGGTCACCCCGCAGCCTTCTTTTCTCCAGGCTGAACAAGCCCAGCTCCCTCAGCCTGTCCTCATAGGGGAGGTGCTCCAGTCCCCTGATCATCTTTGTGGCCCTCCTCTGGACCCTCTCCAACAGCTCCCTGTCTTTCTTGTACTGGGGGCTCCAGACCTGGACGCAGTATTCCAGATGGGGCCTCACAAGAACAGAGTAGAGGGGAACAATCACCTCTCTGTCCCTGCTGGCCACCCCTCTTCTGATGGAGCCCAGGATCCCATTTGCCTTACGAGCTGCAAGGGCACACTGCTGGCTCATGTTAAGTTTTTCGTCTACCAAGACCCCCAGGTCCTTCTCCACAGGGCTGCTCTCAAGGACCTCTCCTTCCAGTCTGTAGGGATGCCTGGGATTCCTCCGGCCCAAGTGCAAAACTCTGCACTTTGCAGTGTTGAACCTCATCAGGTTCACCCGGGCCCACCTTTCTAGCCTCTCGAGGTCCCTCTGAATGGCATCCCGTCCTTCAACTGTGTCAACCACACCACTCAGCTTGGTGTCGTCAGCAAACTTGCTGAGGGTGCACTCAATTCCGTCATCAATGTCATTGATAAAGATGTTAAAGAGCACCGGTCCCAAGACAGACCCCTGGGGGACGCCGCTCGTTACCAGCCTCCACCTGGACATAGAGCCATTGATGATCACCCTCTGTCTGCGGCCTTTCAACCAGTTTCTTATCCATCGAGTGGTCCACCCATCAAATCCACATCCCTCCAGTTTGGAGATAAGGATGTGGTGGGGGACCATGTCAAAGGCCTTGCTCAAGTCCAGGTAAATGACATCGGTCGCCTTTCCCTTGTCCACCGATGCCGTCACTCCATCATAAAAGGCCACCAGATTGGTCAAGCATGACCTTCCTCTGGTGAAGCCGTGCTGGCTGTCATGGATCACACGCCCTTTCCTCATGTGATCAAGCATGTCATCCAGGATGATCTGTTCCATGATCTTCCCAGGCACAGAGGTGAGACTCACCGGCCTGTAGTTCCCAGGGTCCTCCTTGCTCCCTTTCTTGTAAATGGGAGTGACGTGACCCTTCCTCCAGTCATCCGGGACCACACCAGACAGCCACGACTTCTCAAATATGATGGAGAATGGTGTGTGAGAATTTCCCAGTGGCATATCACACTATCACTTCTGTGTCATTTTTCTTGGAGGTATTTCAGATTCATTGTGTACTCTTCCATCCCCAGTCTTGGAATTGTTCCTTTCCACCTAAATATAGGTTATATTGTGAAATAAGTATCTGTAGCACTTTTCATACCTTTAACATGATCCATCCTCTATTTTGGGGGAAAGTGTGCTACCTTTTTTTTATTAACTTTTGCATTATGATGAACTTATTTTAATCAAATGACTTTTTGGAAATGTTCACTGAATGACCTGAAACAAAGTGACTGAATTTCAACTGCGTAGTATTTAATCTTTATCAATTCTTTTAATTTACTTCCTATTAATTTTTAATCACTATGTATGATAAATAGTGAAGAGATGCAAACACCCCTTTAAAATGAAGTTAGACATAAATTTAAATTACATTAACTCCCTAAAGAACAGAAAATTAGAGGCCAGGCTTAACTAGCCTGTACCACCTGGAAGTCTTTTTTTCTTTCTTTCTTTCTTTTTTTTTTAAAGTCTATAATTAAAGGATAGGATAATTGTATTCTTTGCATGTACTGATTAGATTCTGACTTGCCCTCATATTTCAGAAGTGTGGCTGCAAATTATCACTAGGTTTTGCTTTGTTCTTTATTTCTACGTATTTCAGTATGTTGAAAATACTTATGTAAAATCTGCTTGTTTTAACATAAGGTAAGAGAAAAGAGCATTGGTGCTTCTTCATTTCTTTGGTTCTGTTAAAGATAATCTAAATGTGATTCCTTTTCATAGGAATAAATTCTCAGTGCACCGCTTTTGTAGTCTGTTTCTCCTGGTGCTTTTGTATACAGGTGCAAGGGCTAGAGAGAAAGCTGTGTCATTGATTTAGAGCAACCCTCAATAGCTGCCACTGCAGGTGTTCTTACCATACCAGAATATGAAAGATATGAAAAATGCGTTTGCACGGTGAGAAGGAAGGAAATTGCTGATTTATTTTACATGCAAATTTATTATGATGTCTTTTTAAAAATGCTATGTGCAGGGATTGAGTTTTGACTACCTCTTTGCAGGGAAGCATCTGCTACCATTGAGCTGTGGAGAGAGAATAGCCATGCTTGGGGAATGTCACAAGCTGATTGGCTGGTGTACCAGTACATCACTGACCCACACTCATCCTGCAGTCCAATAATTTGTTTATTCTTTAAGAAAAATAGTGCATTTGGTGAATACTAACTCCTGGTTCTTCTACACACAGTTACTCCTTTATAACATACTGGTACTTGTTGCTTACAGTACCTTAACCATTCCCATCTCCAGCCTAACTGTGAGCACCATCTTGTGTCTTGCTGCCAGCACAGTCGTAAAGTCTCATGGACCAGTCAAGATGGCATATGGTCCCTGCCTCACCTTCTGTGATGCTACCAAGAGTAATGCTCTGTACTGAACTGTGAGGCTTCATGAACTTTTATTTTGTTTTGAGGCATTTCATTCTCCTTGTGAACTTCATTCTCAGGAGATAAAGCATGCCTTTAATACTGAAATAACCATCACTTCAGTTTTTTTCCTCTAGTTTACTATTCCTATTCTTCTTACCATATTTCTAGTTTCTTATGTCACCTTGGATAATTGCTATCCCTCATTGATATGCATATCCCTCAAGTAGATGATTGTTCCATGCCCCATTGATTTGGCTATGTATTTATTTATTTATTTTCTCAAAGATCTATTTATCTCTCTTAATAATCTCTCAAAAATCAATGGAGTTAAGCTTGAAAATGTCAAAAACTTGGAATCAATTTTTCCTTTCTGTAATTATGATTTAGTCTATCACATAGGGCATAAGAAAGCAAGTGTAGGAAACCTAGATTGCATGTAAATGAAACTTCAGGGTTGTTAAGAACGTGAAAGAAGAAATAATTACGAATTCTGTCATGCAGAAAACACTGCAGATAGAGGGAATTCAATATTTAATCCCATGATCGGTCTGCCATTAATTGATCAATAAGAGGAAAATAAATTGAGCATTTAGTCTAATGCTTAGCAGCTTCATGTTTAAAAGTTAATTAAACTTAGCTTTTTTGTCTAATGTTTCTCCACTTGAACATAAATCTAATTTGATTATTATACTGAAACTTGCATTAATTGTGGAATACATAAAGTACCTTCTACTATTTCTGTATAATGGTTATTCTGAAAGTTAAATGTTTGCTGGTGTTTCAAATCACTTCAGTGGATTTTCAGAAAGTATTTCAAACTTCATAATTAAAAAAAGAACAAACTTTTACTTCTGAATGTTCATTAGCTAATCTGATCAGCACAGCAGATGAATTGCATGATGTTCTTCATTACATGGGCTTCCATAACTCTTAGCATACTACAGTGTTTATGCTTAGAGGGCTCAGATTATAAATGATGGTTTCCTGTAAGCTGACTGAGCTTTTCAGACAGCTGGAATGGAAGTACCTGTAAACTGGAGTTTTGTTTCTCTATAAATTTAGATCCTAGATGTAGGCCCTTAAATTTCTGAGCCTATTAGACTGCAGAGAGAGAACTTTTCTTGTCTTCTGGTAATAGGCTTCTGCATTATAGTGTAACTAGTAAGATTTTTAATTGGTTATCGTCTTCAGGATGTCTGGGTTTTACTACTGAATGACAAATTAATCATGTGCAAATATAAAGAGGACAAATACAGAACCTTGGTGCACATGATGAATGAGATGATCTTTTCTAGGTCACAGAATCACAGAATGGCCAGGGT